ACCTAGGCTTTTTCCCGCTTGGAGGCAGAACGTGCCTTCAAGCGAGAAAAATCAACCATAAATCAATTTTTCTCAGCCCAAATACGAACCGTCCTCTCCCGGCGACCAATACGACCCCTACCCTGTTGGGGATTCCCCAGCAACAATGTGCCCTGCTGGAATGCGTGCCGCAAGAGTACAAGATCCCTCTGAAACAACAGCTGCATTATAATTTCAGGTAGACCTTTGGTTTGAAACCCTGTCTCTTCAGGCTTATGTGTTACCTACCCACTCACATAGTAACACGATTCAGGTTCAAATGGCAATACGATTTTGAACGAGACTCACGTGCGTGGCTCATCCCAAGGCTACAACGCTGAGCGCCTTTTAATGTCTTATGATAAAGCCTAGCCTTTAACGTATTACCTGGGGATGAGAACTAAATAATATTAGAGCTCTTTGAAAGGTATTAAGCCATGAAAAACGGTTTTGACTGCAAAAAAATTGTGCTGATAAAATCACGCCAATAAAGCGATACGGCATGTGAGCACTGGCTGGAAGCCGCCAGCTGGCCAGTGGAGAGGAAGATGAACTGGTAGCTGTGACAGATCATCACCGTCATTCCTCGCTGGTCTCCTTCCCTCTAATCGACTATTAATCGCCCCTTTGTGCTCATCTCAAAAGGAACAGGTTCGGACTTATAAACACATTTATCACTCGCAGGATTGAAATTTCCAGGGATTGCTATGAATTCGGAAAATATCAACCTGATTGAAGTTTTCCTCTGATACTATTTCACGCCCAGCTTCTCATGTTATCCTTCGAGGGCGACCCACCATTTGAAATGTGCGTCAATCTTCGGGTTTGAAAGAGATGCAAATGAGCTCAAGGTTCAGCTCCTTTCCACCAGGGGGCTCCTTCCCCGCACCTTAAAGTATGTGAGTGTGAAATGGGTGGTGCAGTAGACCCCCCCCCGTTCCTCAGTTCCTACGCGGGGCGTAGGGAGGGATATAGCCAATGAAAGACGGGAAAAACCGCGAAAAGTCGGAAACCCGGACAACATTTTTCCCAACGCCGCAAATTTCTGTCAAAGGCCACATCGACTTTCTCTCCAACAACGATTACGGCGATCACGACCGGCCCCCGCCTCCAGCCGAAAAGTCTCTCTATGTGTTTTCACTCAACGATGCTGTGCTCCTGTTTCCACCACATTTTTCTTTTCCTTCTTGAATCAATGCCACTAACGGATAATTTTGTAAAGCAAGTCAGGGGAGGGTCGAGATGAGCTCGTTCCTACTCCCGTCCGCGGTGATGGCGACGAATATCACTACACTTGGCATCTTTGCGAACTTGCAGTAAGCGAAGCAGTAAACGTATCGAATAAATGCTGTTCTTATTATTCTACTTCGTTTTGTGGACGTTATCCCTTTCTTTTTTGGGGCTGATGTCCCTGCAGGTGGGGGAGGGGAGGGCAGGCGGGAGTCGAGAGAGCTTCCGGAGGCTGGCTTGCACAAAAAGGTGGTACTGAATCCCCTGCCTATGAGAAGTTCCATACAAAGCACAAGTGCGCGCCATTCTTAACCGTTGACGAAGCGGTGTCGGACAATGGTGGGCGACAGCCAGTCTGTCTCATGGGACGGTGTGGACAATGCTGTCCGACAGCATACTGCTCTAATAATAAAGACGTGCGAGCAACCAAATTTGTTCAAAAAATGTCTATAGGAGTAGGCTGAAATTCTGAAAACGACAGGCAAGTGGTTTGGCCTGCCGGCGCCGCGGCCGCAGCGCCCAGCGCCAAATACCTTGGGTCACAAAAGCACTGAGAAGTTGTTTCGTGTGCGTGCTTGACACGCTGAACCAATATCAGCATTTCGTTTCCGCGGCAAAATGCTGCCGGCGCCAAAATACTTCAGGTCACCAAAATCGTTGAAAACTTGTCTCGTGGGTTAGCTTGACCCCTGAACACAAATATCACAATCGCTTGCCACAAAACTGCCTGGCGCCCGCGCCAAAATGTCCTAGATCATCAAATTCTGAAAACCGTTGTCCTAGCGGTGAAGCGCTATCTAAACGAAAAAATATCATGTCCACTTAAGCTGTTACTGACGATTTCCGTCAATGGAGACGAAAAGAAAGCTTTTGTCTTGTTGGAACGAGTGTTTGTCCCAATGTGTCTCACAGTATTATTATATAACTCAAGATCTGCACGAATTGCCACTTCTTTTGCATGGAATTATTTCAAGAACAGAACATGTTCGGGTCGAGGGAAGTGATATCGTTCTTTAGCGAGGTTCTTTAGGACGAAATCACCCCGGGAGACAAATTTGTAGTCAATTCTGTCTTTGTAGGAAGAACTTGGTAAAAAATGGCCTGATTTTGGAAGATTGGAGCAGTCTAAAGAGTCGAAATTGGTAAACTCAGTCTGCTTGGCATTCTCGATAGATTTGGTCGTCGTAATTCAATTTGGAAATTATCAAGTCTTGCTCTAAAAAATGTGGCCGTCATGGTGGGCAAGAATAGGAAAGTAAGTTCGTCGTCAACGTGTTAAGATTGTTCACCAACCTCAGAGCTCCTCCCCGTATCTGCTAGGTGAAACTCCTTATTTCCGTTGTGGGAATACCAGTTTTGCACAGGGAGTCCTTCGAATGCTCCTAAGGTTATTAGCGTCCATTTTCACCCACGAATCGAGGAACGCTTTTTTGATTGCAGCACGTCTGACTGAAAGCAAAAGTAATGCATTCGGGGGGGTATCAAAAAAATAAAAAAAAGCAGGCAGCTAAAACTCGATCATCAATGACCCACACAAATCTTTCGCGTGCATAAGGATTTTAATACAGACTGACATTAATGAGCCTGCTGTTATGCGACGAGCATCTAACTCCTACTCAGACTCATGGGCTTCTTTGAAGGCTGCTCGTTCCAAAAGATAACTGGCGACGTTTGGCGACGGGGTGGGGGCATTTTGCACTTCTACTACTTCCCGTCACGTGTCGAACCATCAAGTCAAATCCTATGAGGCAACAAAGTCATAGTTAGAACGTAGATGGAGATGGTTAGTCACGGTACAGCATCATTGTGTGAAGGTCGTACTTTTCCGCTGGGGAGGGAGTTGTAAATATTTGGTGGTTGTTGGCAGAGTGGGGGGTCGCATGTGGCTTTGAAAGAAATGTGCAAAAATTTTTCACGATTGTTGACTTTTCGCGTAGTTTGTTCCTTGTGTACTACCTACCCTCCCCCCATCCCCGCTAGGTGTTGGGGAAGGAGGGGAGGCTCGACGGAAAAATCTTTGGGTGAAAATTTGGAAAATATGGGAAACTGGTAAGTAGGTGTTGGGGAAAGAGGTGCTAGAGTCCTACCGAGACCCTCTTTTAGGATGGGGGTCGTGCCAAGACCCTCCCTCGAGAGGGAGGAGGGGTCGTACCGACACCACCATTTTACACATTACGATGCTGTACACTGTGGCTAGTAGTGCCAGTTCCTGTGCGGAGTTAAGTTCCGGATCGGCGCTTGCACGCGACAGCCAAACCTTCAATCTCTTTGGGTCGCAATTTGCTACCCAGAGTTGCTTGCAAGAATGAAATTCTCGCCTTGTACATCGTCGGCCCACGGATTTCATTGTAAAGTCAAAAATGTTTCCAAATAGGAGTAGAACGCGTTGATCATCCGTAGAAGGAGTTGAAAACGGTAGGAGTGTCTTTCATTTATCTCCTTTAAAGAGTCCAACTTAATTTGGTGCTTTGTTTCGCACGCACACGACTTGCAAAACAAGAGTTCGGGTACAACTACGGGCTAGAGTACAGTATTTTGCCCATTATTCAGCACCCCCATGGTTATGTTCAGGACAGCAAGTGTTTCTTCCAAATTAGGCAACAGGCTGGGCACCCTTCCCAGTGCAGGTGACTGATGTGTTTAAGACCAAATCCGTCACTTCTGATTCCCCAGAAGGTCCTTCCGACTAGAGAACGATCATTTCTGTCCGCATACCTATTATTTCCTAGATGTTTAGGTGCTGTACAGCTCAGGGAAGGGGGGGGGGGGGCAGAAGGGAGAGGTTTAAAGAACTTCCACTGCTTCTTTTTGCAAGTTCATCTTAACTAAGAGGTCTCATTTTGGGGAGACTTGTAAAGCTTGTGAAACTGCAAGATGGTGCAAGTGAGCCTTTCAGTAACAGGACTTCAGAACGTGGCCCGTACAACGTTCACTAAGTACCAATTGGTGCACCCCCCTCCCCCGTCCGAAACTGCGTAGTGAAATAACAGTTGAAACCTCTCGTAGTCCATTTTGGGTTACTGGCCTTAATTTTCAAGCTATCAGTTTCTTCGTCCGGTTCTTGGTCCGGTTCTTGGTAAGGAAAAAAAAACAGGAAAGCCCAGAATACTCGATCCAGGGCCTGAAAAGGTAAAACTTGCGAAGGTATGCATCTGGGTAGTTTCGAAAATCTTCCCCATCCACGTCTCCGCGCTCCAATGTCAATCCGAAAATGCTGTTTGAATTGCGCGCTTTACAGTGCGCCACACATCCCACAAGTGAACGCACACTCGCGCAAGAAGTTTTAGGCCCAAAATTTTTTGAGCGGCTGTCACTTCTGCTTTCTTGTGTTGCCTTTCGTGCTATCTTTTAGTCTTTTCTATTTTTATTGTTGAAAGATTGTTCCTCTGTAGTTTCTAAGTGCTCCATAGCGTTTCCTGAGTTCTAAGATTGTATTGCAAGATGAGATCACACTTGAGGGTGTCCAGGATGTCTGAGAAGTTCCGCAGCGCTCAGATGTTCCAGTTTGTTTCAAGTTTTCTTGGCCCTCTTTAATTGTCAGACCTACAGCTATTTGCACATCCTCATGCGGTAGAAAGTTCGATTCAAGGCTCGCAGTTAGTGTTTCAGCTTACTGTTCCACGCTTTACTGCCCTCTTCTGTTACTGTTCGCGACGCCTGTTGTTACTGGATGTGAATAAAAAGTTGTTAGTATTCCATTTTCAGGGTAAAACATGTCGCACCGTAAATTTTCGGCGCCAAGGCACGGTTCCATGGCCTTTACGCCAAAGAAACGATCCAGGACGTATCGAGGAAGAATAAAGGCTTTCCCTAAGGATGATCCCTCGAAGCCTATTCATCTCACTGCGTTCCTTGGATACAAGGCTGGCATGACCCACATCGTCCGTGATGTAAGTTTTTATTTCCACGACGTTTCTGCGCTTTTCCTACTTGTTGGCTTGATGAGCACTGCTCACGCAGTTTTAAGACTTGAACGGTGCCCATCTTACAGTCAAGTAAAGACCCTTTACTAGCGTCTACACGACCACTGAACAGTGCAGTGGTCCTCTTCCTTCAATTTTGACTTTGCAAGACTCTTTAGGAAGTGTAACAGCACATGAATTGGGTTGTCCATACCTCGCAACACTGGAGAATTGGCGAGTGGCAGATTAGGGAAAATCGGAGCGCCCGCCCGACTCGTCTATTCCCTAGTTCGATTTGTGTAAATTCTTCATCGCGAATTCTATCCTTTCCAATCGACGATTCTTCGATTGTCCTGTGTCGCAAGGTCCGAGTGGCGGACTTTAGATACCCGCATGGGCGTGGCCACAGGAAGGCGAGGCCTCGACATGGATGAGTCTAACTGAGCTTCAGCATCTCTCCCTGACCTTGGAGATTGTCGTTTTTCTCTTGTTCAAGAGCTATCGAGAATGCTTCTACCTGAACTTATAATTTTCATATCGAAGAAATATTTTAGGCTGGCAATTTATGCTTCTACTATGTAGGACATTAGGCAGAGGCGAAGGAGATTGTTTACCTATGAAGCGGTGCTCCCGCCTAACATCTATGGCGGGACAAAGTTGAGCAGCATCCATGCCGAGGCCTTGCCCCCTGTGGCCACGCTCATCCTGGTATCTAAGACGCCCGCAGTCCTACAATGGCTCCGTGTAGAGCCCCTTAAAGTAAACTGTATGCTCATTCGCGTAAAGGCTACAGAGCGTTGCGCGTTCCTCGTTCTGCCTCTTCTCTCGATCTGAATACCAGCCACTTGAAAGTGGAATTCTGCAACTACATTTTGTGTTCTGAACAATACGAAGTGTACTGAATTTCGATGAGCGATGTTACTCAGGGAACATTCGTTGTTTTCGGCGCTACTTATAACGCACTGGATTTCACCTGGTACATGGATGCCCAACTACGCAAAAATTAAGCTCAACTGCTCAATTAAGCACTAAAATTACGTGGCAACTACGAGTAGAAGTAAAAAAAGAGGACAAACCAAAAGACGAAATAGCCTTTTGCAAAACATTGTAGCGGCTCAGAACTGCCTGTACCCAAAAAATTAGTCGAATCAGCATTTGGCACGGTCCGCCATGCGTTTAAGCGCAGATAAGATCTACATATAATATAATCCGCTAAGTGTGTCTGTGTGTGTGTGTGTGTGTGTGTGTGTGTGTGTGTGTGTGTGTGTGTGTGTGTGTGTGTGTGTGTGTGTGTGTGTGTCACGAAATTCATAGCGCCCGTCCCAGTAGCGTTAGGAAGTTAATTCCAAGATATATAGGGGTTGGGACAGGTTACGATTCCAAGATATGATATAGGGGTTGGGACAGGAACACTTTTGGTGGGTGATAGGAGGTGATAACACTTGATAAGATTCGATAAGGGGCCTTAAAAGGGGAGGGTGACCGAAATCGTAGCGCAAGTTGCAGCAGCTGCGGGACCGTGATTTCAAGAAGTGATATACACAGCAGGACGGAAACACTTATTGGTGGGTGACAGGAGGTGATAACACCTGATATGATTTGATAAGGGGCCTTAGACGCCGAGGATCACCAGATTAGTAGCGCAGGTTGCAGCGACCGTGGGACCGTGATTTCAAGAGTGATATACACGGCAGGACGGGAACACTTTTGGTGGGTGACAGGAGGTGATGACACCTGATAAGATTCGATAAGGGGCCTTAGAAGGGAGGGTGACCGAAATCGTTACACAAGTAGCACAGCTTGCGGACCTTGATTTGAAGAAGTGATATACACGGCAGGACGGGAACACTTTTGGTGGGTGACAGGAGGTGATACACACTGATAAGATTCGATAAGGGGCCTTAGAAGGGGAGGGTGACCGAAATCGTAGCGCAAGTTGCAGCAGCTGCGGGACCTTGATTTCAAGAAGTGGCAGGGGAAACGATGGACATAACTGGGGGGGGCAGGTGGAGGCAGATATAACACTCTGATATAATTTCGATAAGGCTCTCAGACGGCGAGTTCATCCAAAATTCGTAACATCGGCTGTAGTGATTGAGACCTGCGTTCCGAATGCTACACCAGCAGGGACGGGGGGGGGGGTGACATGATCCAATAACATATGATAAGATTCGATAAGGGGCCTCAGATGCGGAGGGTCACCAAATTCGTGGGCCAGGTTGCATGCAGGGTCTGTGGGACCATGGTTCCAAGAAGTGGTATAGGGGTAGGGGCTAGCGCAGACACCCGATGGGGTAACTAATGATTAAACAACTGATAAGAGTTGAAAGCGTCATTATCCGTCCGCAACACCGCTTACAAGCACAGTGCGATTGATATGATCCAGGTATCAGGCTCTCAGTAGTTCGCACCCAACTCATTCCTAACCTTTATCGTTTTTGGCATCATGTACGGCCGCTAAAGCGGCTGGAGTTCAGATGCATGACGGTTGTTTACTCATTTGCCGAGAACAGCAGCAACTAACTTTATCATTATGACCATGACTATCTTCCATCAACAACCCGAGAGAGGACCATTCGAAGCGCTGGACTGCCGAATGCGGGAGTGCATTCCAGCAACTGCCGAATGCGGGAGTACATTCCAGCAAAAAACCCTACAGTGGTGGAGAACGCATTAAGAGGTAGGATTACTTCAAGAGCCTCCTAACGGATCTGGAATTTTTATGGAGATGTTTGGCACTAACCCCAAGAAAAGAATGAACAAAAGGATAGATTTCAGCGTTACATTGGGGCAATGGTCACAATGTGTACATAGTAGGGGACAGTATGGAAGCATCCTACTATATATAATCCGCAAAGTGTGTCTGTGTGTGTGTGTGTGTGGTGTCACGAAATCATAAACACCTGTCCCAGTGGCAGAGAAGCGTTGATTCCGGGGGTGTGACGGGAACACCATTGGTGGGTGACAGGATGTGATATCAGTTGATAAGATTCGATAAGAGGCGTTCAAAGAGGATGGTCCCCAGTCCATAGTGCGGGCCACAGCAACAGTGGAACGGTGTTCCGAGTAGTGAAATAGGGAGTGGGACGAAAACATCATTGGTAGGTGACAGGATGTGATATCAGCTGATAAGATCTGATAATGGGCATTAGAAGGGAAGGACTACCAAATTCATAGTGCGGCTCACAGGAACAGTGGGTCCTTGGATCCGAGAGGTGCTATATGTGGGACGGTAACATCATTGGCGGGCGACAGAAAGTGATAACAGTTGATAAGATCCTAAAGGGGTCTCGGAAGAGGATGATCACCAAATTCGTAGCGCAGGTTACAACAATAATGGGACCTCAGATCCGTAGGTAATGAAGGGTGTGGGACGGGAACATTATGGCGGGAGACAGAAAGTGTTAAACAGTTGATAAGGTAAGGGCCTCGGAAGGGGAGGGTTCAGATCCGTAACGCAGGTTACAGCAACAGTGGGACCTCGGATCCGAGATATGATAGTGAAACGGGACCGGAATATTATTGGCGGGTACGGAAGTGATAGGAGCTAAAAGTGAAAAGATAACATGAGAAAATCCGCTCACCGCTCACAACAAAATACATCGAATGGACTCGATTGTAACGAACTCATTCAACAAATTCAAATCGCAAATCAAATCGGCAAATCCCGCATGCCCGGCGAACCTGTCCATCGTTCACAGCAAGAAGGAGCGCCGGCACAGCGGGCGATCCGACTGCGTGTTCAAAGTTAGCCTAAGGATGTCCTTCACTGCCTAGGCGAAGGTGCTAAAACTTTGTAGAGGCTATATATTTTGGCTATTTCAGTCTTGACCTAGACTATACTTCATCAGCTGAAGATGTAATGCCGAAACCAAGGTAGCTACTGAAACTTCACAGAATGCTGATGATGGCAAAGTGGGAACACGACGGGATTCGAACCGCGCCCACTTCTGCTTTACCGCGGCGTGCGTTCCCTATTACGCCTACCGCAGAGCCACTTTTGACCCACTCAGCTCAATGGCTATTGTGCCATCCTCTGTATAGCCTTCGGATCCGCCGTAACTGCGCTTATAACAGCATTATCAAACAGATAACAGCTACTATAATTGCCAGCCGAACAATGTTCTGAAAAAAATAATGAATGCATCATTTCAGGTCGATAAGCCGGGATCAAAGGTTAACAAGAAGGAAGTCGTCGAGGCTGTTACCATAATTGAGACTCCACCGATGGTTATTGTCGGTATCGTTGGATACATCGATACCCCTCGTGGTCCTCGTCCCTTCAAATCGGTCTTTGCCGAGCATCTCAGCGAAGACTGTCGTCGTCGTTTCTACAAGAACTGGTTAGCGTTGATCATTCCACTTTTTCTAGCGACTGGTTTTTGAAGTGATTGCTTCCAGTGTGCAGTTTGTGTCATTCATTCATCTCCTCTGTACCAATGTGTACATGAGTATGATTGTTTGTCAAGTTATGATGATACCCTTCCTCTGCTCGTGGGGCATGAAGGGATTTGAACTTGTTGTGGCATGCGCTGTTACCTAAGCGGTACTGCGTCACCCATAGAGGGTTCAATAATTCATCTATAGGTGCAAGTCTAAGAAGAAGGCCTTCACCAAGTACGCCAAGAAATGGATGGACGAGGATGGCAGGAAAGTTCATTCGAGTCTGATCTCAACAAAATGAAGAAGTACTGCTCTTCAATCCGCGTTGTCGCCCACACTCAGGTAAGGCGAGCGGTACATGGTTTGCGTTAGGTTTTGAGCATACGGCGGCCTTCTGAATGGCTAGGAAAGTATAGGTATCGATCTAGCGTTCTGACGATTTCGCATGCAGTCGCTGAAGACGCTGGAGTGCGCTAAAACGCCAGATCGATATCTACACTTTCCTAGCTGCTCAATCGATACTTATCACTTGATGGTCGCTCTAAATGCTGCCGTACGCTTAGAAAGCGCAGGCCAAGTATGAACGCAGACCTCAGAGAAACGGTGTTTAAAAAGTTTTTAATGTTTGCTGTTTTCAGATGAAGATCCTTAACCGCAAGCAGAAGAAGGCACATCTTGTTGAGATTCAAATTAATGGAGGAACTATTGCTGAGAAAGTCGACTGGGCTAAGGATCACCTTGAGAAGCAGGTCCCCATCGACACTGTGTTCTCCCAAGATGAAATGATTGACACCATTGGTGTTACCAAGGGTCATGGATTCAAGGGTGTAACGAGCAGATGGGGAACCAAGAAGCTTCCCCGCAAGACCCACAAGGGTCTCCGTAAGGTGAGACCGTATCCTTTTTTTCTGCCTGGTGTCAGAGAAAATTTCGCCCATTAAGGTTGCTTGTATCGGAGCGTGGCATCCTTCCCGAGTTGCATTCACAGTTGCTCGAGCTGGTCAAAAGGGATTCCATCACCGAACTCACATTAACAACAAAGTCTACAGAATTGGACGTTCATGTCTTACACCGGAGGGCAAGAACAATGGAGCCACTGAGTTCGATCTCACCGAGAAGAGCATCAACCCAATGGTGTGTTTTCAATTACTTTCTCAATGTATTTGCACATCCTATGACGAGATTGTCTGCAATTCCTAATTCCTGAAGGACAAATGTGAATTCCGAGGATGTTGACTTGAAGTTCGAGTTTTCGCTGTTCAAATATTTTTGTCTGGCTAAGAATTCGCTTCCAGGGAGGTTTCCCTCGTTATGGTCTTGTGAACCAGGACTACGTTATGCTCCGTGGTGCCGTCCTTGGACCTAAGAAGCGCCTTATCACACTCAGAAAATCCCTGGTTGTTGAAACGAAGAGATTCGCTCACGAGAAGATCAACATGAAATGGATCGACACCAGCTCCAAGACTGGACACGGACGATTCCAAACTACTGCAGAGAAGAAAGCATTCATGGGCAAGCTTAAGAAAGATTTCCTTGCCGAGAGCAAAGCCTAAAGTTGTTATATTTTTGAAAATAAATTTGTTGTTGTTATCTGGTGTTGTACGCAGCTTTATAAAAACGTCAAGATTCGAAGCTGTGAGTTTTGCACTTCGGTGATCTGCGGCTGAGTGGATACCTTAATTTGTCACATGTTTCTACCCCAAAACCTGTCACGGAGTACTGTTCAGTTTTTATTGCTTGAAATCGGGACAGTTTGTTGTTCATGCCTTAGAGCTAAAAACCTCTCAGAATCCCAAAATCTAAAAACTGGGTCAGAAATGGATTAGAGAGATGTACCAGAGAAATCGGCGCTGCTCGGCTTGAAG